CCTGCTTCATAGTTGCGTATCTGTCTGCTATTCTAGCTGCCCCTGGGGCAAGAACTGCATTTTATTTGTCTTTGCTTCCTTAGCATGTTGTGTGGTGTCTGCACAAAGCAAACCCTCAGTCGGTTGGTTTAAGCTGGGCCAAAATCCCGGCAAAGTCAGGGCCATGTCAGCTAAACAAGGGAGGAGGTGGTGGGGGCTGGGAGTCCAGGCAGGTGGGGCAGAATATAGGCCCAGAGAGTTCTGGGTGTCTTGATAAGCACAAGCACCTACTGCACACTTGACTGTTTTCTAGGCACTTTCAGTGGTAAGGTGTGAATAAGCACAGAACAAAGCTCCATTTTCACAAATTACCTTGTACCTAGAGAAAAAAAAAATTTAACTCAGTGAGGTAGGTACTGTGTATTAACTCCATTTTACAAATGAATGAAGAAGTAAGCATAGAGAGGTTATGTAACTTGTCCAAGGTCACACAGCAGTAAATAGAGGAGTCAGGTTTCAAACCCAGGCAGTCTGGCTCCGCCGTTCATTTTCCTCACCGCTTTACTGTATGCAAGAAGTACAGCACTGGAGACCACCACTGAATCCTGCTGGTTTATGAGCTGAATTTAGACACCGCATGAGTTTATTGTGTGCCAGTGACCCTGAGGGTGAACCTTACCCCGGACTAAAGCAAGAACAGAGCTTCCAGACATCAGTCAATAATTCTCAAGCTTTAATGTGCATCCAAATTAGCTAGAGAGCTGTTTTATTTAATGCAAATTACTAGTCCTCACGTCCAGAATTCTTATTCAGAAGTGTTGGGATATGAAGGAATTAATATATGATATTATCCTCTCGTATACACACACCCCAGATACTGAACCACTGTAGAGTAAGAGCAAAATGTCACCTTATTTTACTGATAAAGGTGACATTGGAGGACTCACCTTTAGACGTGCATCTGCAGCGGCTATTCCTAACACAAAACCCAGAGTTGGAATTGTCCACCCTGTCACAGGAGGTGCTGGACGACTCACGGTCTCATCAGGAGGGGGCCCTCCTATGAAACTTGTAGCATGGGACGACAACTCAGTCGTGGGCTGTCTGTCGGCACGCTGGCTCCTGGAAGAGGGATGGAGGAAAAGGCAAAACTTCATAAACCTGGTTTTCTCTGAAACTCAGCTGTCAGATACCTCCTTCCATACCCTTGGGGAAGAAAGGGTTGGTGGCAGAAGCCAGGTAATCCTTCCTTCTGGAAACCAGAGAAGTAGGGGAAAGCCACTTACCACTAGTAACTGACTTCTAGGTTAAGGCCCAGGAGTCTGTACTTTTAGCAAGAACCCCACATGTTTCTGAAGCAGAGGATCTTCACACCATACTTGAAGAAGCAAAGTTCTAGAATGGCCTAGGTGTTGCGCTGAATGCCCCTCAGAGAAAATCAAATGTATGAGCTCACTCCTCAAGAAACTTACAGGTCAGGTCGGACAATGATATTTAAAAAGAGCTCACTTATATAGTGCTTATAGTTTGAGTTTCTGTGCTAAGCACTTAACATATATGAAGTCATTTAAACATGTGAAGTCACAACAGCTATAAGAGTTAGATATTAAAGCAGAGAGAGGTTAAGTAATTTTCTCAAAGCTACACAGCTAGAAAGTGGCAGGGCTAGAAATTGGATCCAGTCAGTCTGACTCCAGTCTACACTCTTCACTTCTGGCTATTATATTGCTGTACGTGGTGCCCTGTCCATGGACACGGACCTCTACAGGGGGTGACACATTGAACAGTTAGCTTAGCGGAGTCATATGCAAAACTCAACACTATTTTCTTACCCTTACGAAATTTCTTACCCTTACTACTGTCTTAGTAATTGAAATAGCAGCTAATGAATCCATTTAAAAAAGCAAAATGAAGTCTTAGTAGCTATTTATTATTTTGTTTTTTCTCAACCAATGGATATTAAAATTATAACTATGATGTTGCTAGTTAAGAATTTTTTAATATATATAATTTTAAAGAGGATTGGCATACACGAAAGGGTTGTGTGCTACCATCAAAAGAAGTGTAGCCAAGGTGAAAAGTGAGAGAAGAGGAATTTGGATATTATTCTTTGGGGTAACATGACTTACAGTTAACCATGCAAATCATTCCTTTTTTGGAGATTAAGACCTTGAGTCCAAGCCTTATGTGTAGCACCTGAAGTAAAGGATGCTCGTAGGTTCTGCCATCCTCTCTTTGCAGTTTTCCATGCAGGACAGGCAGATGCCTGTGTTCCCAGAGCTGAGTGGAAGCTACATGGATGGTGGTGATGGGGGAGAGGGCAGAATGATTTGCAGCTTCAGAAACGTGGGGACACTAACACACAGTGCCATTAGTGTGCTTCCCAGTCAGGAGAGATTTACCCACCAGACGTCATTTATTTAGTAGATATTTATTAAGCACCTACTATGTGTTAGATACTACACAGTTCTTGCCCTTGGACTAAGGAAGGAAATGGATATTTACAAACGATGTATGGGTGTGCCTGGATATTACCCATTTTATCCTTTAAAGCAGTGGTCTCCAACCTTTTTGGCACCAGGGACCGGTTTCATGGAAGACCATTTTTCTACATACTAGGGGTTGGGAGGAAGACAGAGCTAAGGCGGTGGTATAAGCAGTGGGGAGCGGCTGTAAATACAGATGAAGCTTTGCTAGTTTGCCCACCAACTCACCTCCAGTTGTGTGGCCCCCCATTTCTAAGTTTCTTGGAAGACAGTTTGTCCATGGACCAGGGTTGGAGGGGCATGGTGGAGCTCTGCAGCCTGGTCCCTAATAAGCCACAGACTGGTACCAGTCTGTGGTCTAGGGGTTGGGGACCACAGCTTTAAAGGGTATAAGTCAGCCAATGGCAAAAACACCAGTAGGACACACTAAACAGAGATGCCTTCCATCTGACGTGGGAATGAAGATAAAGTAGTCATTCAGACCTGGGGTTATTCATAAAAGGCTTCATGCTAGAGATGGCCCTTGGAAGGATTATGGGTGCACATTGGCAGGGGACAAGGGCAGTTCCTGCTGAGGGAGGACTGTATGAGCAAGACACAAATGAAGATACGGGCAACAAAACTGCATTTCGTTTGGCATGAATGAAATGTGGCTAATAGAGGATTTGTCTGAAGAAGCAGATTAAAGCAAAGTACAGTGGATGAGATGTCACAATATAGAACTTGGACTTTCAGATATCTATCTGAAGATGACCTTCCTTGAAATCCAGATGGTCACCTTAAATTCAATGAAAGATCATTCCCCTCTTGTCAGTTCTGAGTGTATGACACACTTCATCATGCGAAAAAACATTGTGATACCAACCTGGGTCCTTAGGAATTACGTTCCATCTCGCCCAAGGAACTACACTTCCCCATTGCATCCCATCCTCAGTGTGAGGTTCTTAAATGAGGTTTCTCGCCGGGCCATAGCATCGGGACTTGGCACACAGCTTTCCCAGCTAAGGACATCATGCCTTTCGGATCTAATAGTTTTGCACAAATGTCCTAAGCTTGTTGCACGTGAAATTGATTGGCTCTTGTGCTCCCTGAATTGGTGATATGTTTTTCTGAGGAATTCTACAAGTTTTAGATGTGATCATATACAATGACAAAGTGGGTGTAGTATTTTTCCCATGCCTCTAATTTATGTATTTGTGTTGGGGTGATGATTTAGATAGGAGCTCAATAAATTGATCAAATAAATTACCCCAAACCTACACACCATCATTTCAGGGAACTGTCATCATACCAAGGAGGTTCTATATCACCCAGCATAGTGTTCCAAGAGAACTGCTGGGTTTTTTTTAACATGTTGCTGGGCTTTTATTCGGTCAGCAAGGTCTTTATTTCTCAGATTGGCCAATATTATAAGAAGTTTAACTCCAGGAGACATGGGTTAGCTGTGGAAGAGAGTAATTATTAGTTGCATGACTTCTGCAAGTTATTTCAACTCTCTAAGCCTCAGTTTCCCTTTCTATAAAATGTTGATTTATAACTCCTACCTCAGATGTTTGTTGTAAGGGAAAGCAATAATGCCTTCAGAGGGTGGAAAGCATCTGGCTGTCAGACAAATGTAGACTCATGTCCTCACTCCATCGCTAGCCGTGCAAATCACTGGTCCTTTGTAAGCCTCAGTTTCCTAGGCTATAAAATGTTGTTGTCGATAACTCCAAGAGAATACCTTCTACGGGTGGCATAAGGGAGCAATCTAAAGGAAGCCAGGTGGGTCTGATGCTCTGAGTTGCAAGGGCCAGAGACATCAGCGCCCTACGAGATTGACTACAAGACTGACCCATCTAACATGCTAAGATGAAGCAGAGACTGTGGCCAACATCAAAGCCCATTTTGGGGACAGAGGACCAGTTGTTCCTCTAGACCACACTCCTGTGTTGACATGATGTTTGTTGACACAAGATAAATCTATTTTAGAGGAGGCAGTGAGTGTGAGAGCAAAACCCTGTTAAAAAGGTGGGCAGGAGGTAGCTCTTCCTTGTGGTCTCTCATTTCATCAAACATGGGTAATCCCCCCTCTATGATGTGAGAAAACAATCAGTCTATGCCCAGAAAGCCAGTAAATTAATATACAGCAGGCAGTAGCAGAATTGGAATACAGGAAGAGTAATATGTCTGTTCATAAATATGTGTTCCATGAGTTAAGAAATGATTGTATGAATGAATGAATGGTTTTGGATTCTGGCTTTATCACAGATGAACTGGGTAACCTTGGGCAAATCAATTAACTGTTTTGGGCCTCCCTTTCTTCTCTATAAAATGGAGATAATAAAAACGGCTGCCTAATTGTGAGAATTAAGCATGTTAGTGCAAGTGAAGCTCTTAGATCAGGGCCTGGCACCTCATAAAATCTCCCGATAAACGAGAGCTGTTGTCATGATGATTTGCTGTCATTTACGTCGTGTGATCAATAGTCACTGATACGGATGGCTCGACTTCTCCTTTTAAGTTGTTTGCGTTCTCTGTACTTTACAGGTCAGCAAGTCCTGGGCCTGGTAGAGAACCAGAGTGACTGGTACCTTGGAAACCTGTGGAAAAATCACCGCCCGTGGCCGGCCCTCGGCAGGGGCTACAACACAGGTAAGGGGTGGTATTGCCTGGGGTCGTAAAGTGTGATGCGAGGGGTCACTGCTCCTTCCTGGGGGAGAAGAGATAGCAAAATCCCAGGAGGAGGCCACCTGGTGGCTTGAATTTAGCAGTGGACAATGTGTAGGTGGTTGGCATTCTAGTCTCTTTGTACTGGAGCTGCAGCTACAGGCCGGAAACTGCTGGGCCTGGGCAGTCTATGGTGGTCTCACCAGAAAGCCCCTCTGCTGACCTTGAGACCCAGATCCGACTGGACATCTTTATCGGCATAACCCATCGGTTCCTTGGCCCTGTTGATGGAGACTGAGATCATTCTGCAGTACCAAACAACCCCAACATTTCAGGTTTTTGACACAACAGAAATGTATTTTAACACAACAGGACATGTCCATTTTAGGTCTACAAGGATCCGTGTTCATGGTAGGGACTCAGGAATCATCTCGGTGCAAACTTCCATATGTGCAGTGGGAAAGTAGCAGAAGTCATACTGTCTCTTCCTTTCAAAAGTGACACAATTTCTGCTCATTTCGTTAGCACATTGATGGCCACACTAGGAAAAAAATTTTTTTCCTTGGGGCCATGGTGTTTTATTATGAAAATATTAATAGAATAAAAACTTCAAAAACAAAACGATCCTTTCTAATTTAATGAAAAATCTGTTATTTTTTATTGTTTTCTGTGCATGGCATATGCTCTCAAGGTAAAGAGATGTGTGAGTTATGTGTGTTTCATGAGGCCCCAGGCTTGAAATTAGTGTGAGTTAAATACAACTCACATGGTAGTTGATGTGTTAAGTAAAGCATGTTGTTCGGCGATTCCTCCCTTCAAGGGATGTGGGCGAGCGCAGCCTACCATGTGCCCAGCAAGAGAAAAGGCAGAAATATTTGGTGATTAGCACTTCTGAGGATCACAGCCTTCCAACACCATGTGTCTAAAATCATATCCGTTATTCTCCCTTGTTACTTGCCCCAAACTTGCTTCTCTTTTGCTTCTGTCTCTGTTATTGGTGTCATTCATTCATTCATTCAAGTGTTCTTGTTCACCAGCTGTCTCTTGAATTCTTACCGGGTATCAGGCCCCAGGTAGATATGGTGGATACCGTCTGTGACCTCATGGAGTGTATAGGCAATGAAATTAGAGCAGCTTCCCTCTCCTGGGACTCAACTCCTGCCAATGTCTGTCTTTGAAATGCCTCCAGATCCTCTTTCTGCCTCCCCCCTCCATCCTCATTGCCGCTGCTTTGGCACCCTATTCTCAGAGGATGCTGGCACATGACCTTTATCAGGGCTTGGACTTGGGGCCCAGAGAGCTGTAGGAGGGGTGAAGCAGAGAAGGGCTGGGACCTGGCATCTGAGACCAGCAACATCACTGCGTTGCGGCAGGTGTCTGGGGACAGCAGACCGTGATAGGGGAAGCCTGTCCTGGAGGCTACGGCCAGTCTGCAGCGGGAAGAGCTAAGAAGTCAACTGAGGGTTGATGGTCAGACTCTAGAGAGTTCAAATGCAAACGCGGGGTCCCAGAGGCCAAAGGAAAAGGACATGAGTCAAGCTTGCAGAGGTGAGAATTAAGAGATGGGGTGAGAGCAGGGGTGAAGGCTGGAGGAAAACAAGGAAAGAATGTCCAGCATCAGTGTCCTGAGCAGCCAGAGGTGGCAGCCAGGGAGCCCTGGACTGAAGTCTGTACTAGGAGATATAGACTGTTCCTTAGCTGACGTTTGCCAGAGCACCAGGCATGTCTCGCTCTACGTATTAATAATTTTTTCCTGTAACACCTACCAGGCATATACAGAAGTTGCATTCGGAGAATTTTAACCACCAGCCCTTTGTGGACCCAGAGCTCCATCCTGGAGGCTCCCCCACTAGGTTGGGCATTAACCCTTTCGTTGCTGGATGGTGGGGAAGTCTGAGGAGTCCAAGGGGGGCAGGCTGGGGAAGAGCAGCTGAGGGGCTCGGGCTGCTCTTTATTAGCAGGTAGGGAAGTATTTCAGTATTTCCATAACGGGGCAGGCAGACTCAGCTGAGTCTAGGTGCTTTCTCGTATTAGTCTCAGTTGATCCTCACGCTAACCCCGGGAGACAGGGGCTATGCTCACCTCTCTTCTATGGAAGAGGAAACTGAAGCTTAGAGAGGTCAAGCCTGCAACCCTGCCAAGTAAAGGACCCTGCGGTGTCAACTGCTAACTTCCCTTGCTTGAAATTTGATGGTTTCAGGATCAAACACTTTTCAGAAATGGAGAATCGTGGCTCTGTCCTTGAAGAGCCTGCTTGACGAGGTCTGTGGAGGAGACCAGGATTCTTACCTGGAGGAAGCCTCTAGGATGTTTCTGGAACGAGATGTCTAAGGGCCTGCCCTCATCACACATGGCACTCTGTTTCCCACCCTAGGAGATGATTCCTCAGTGCATTCGAGGCTGAAGCCTTTATGAGCCCACAACGGGCCGGCGAGAGGGCCCCACATGCTTTTCATTGAAAAAGGACTTGTCATCTCGTGTGGGTCTTTTGTGCCTGGATTTCCAGACATGTTTCCTCTGGGCTTTCCCAGAGCTGGAGACACTCGTGTTGGGTGGGAGAAGGGAAGTCCCAGGGAAACCCTGGTGTGTAAGTTTAGTCTCTGTCTTCCGTGACATGTAATAGAAAATGTCACACAGAGATATACTACAGTGCCTCGAGGATGCAGCATGGAGGTCACGGTTACCTGCATAAAACACAGACCACCAGTCATCAATCCGGGTTTGTAAGTGAAAGAAGAATGTAGCCCTCTGGGGAATTTATTATGACAAAAATGGCATGTCCCCTCCCACCCCTGCCTGTTTGCTACAGAAGGTAGAGTCAGGAGACACACAAGTGTCTAAACCACCTGCAGCTCCTACTTGATCTGCCAAGGCAGTGAGTTACTTTCCATCTTGCTGGTTCTAAAAGGGCAGAGCCAGATGGGGACATGCCCGTTAGGAGTGAGGTGTCCATTTAAGCTGGTGACACCAAGTGATCATTATAAAAGGATTTATGAGGCATCGAAATGCATTGGCTTTCACGATGGGGATTTGTTATTTTAAGACCAAGGATTGTGCCACACATCAGCGGGTGAGTCATCCAGACATTTAGATCCTCGTGGAAATTGAGTACGCCACTGGAGAGAACCTGCCACCCTAAATCCCAGCACAGCTCGAGCCTCCAGAAAGGGCATCTCCAGCAACGCCCCTGTTGTGAGCCTTGAGCTTGACGTTGGAGAGCCCGGAGGAGCTGGTTTAGAGCCATATTCGGCCATTTACTCTCTGTCTGAGCGTGGCCAGTTTGCTTCACCTCCTTGAAGCTTAGTTCTCTCCCGTTTTAAATAGGACAATAACAGAACCTAGTGTGTGAGAATTAACAGTCAATGAGATAACCTAAAACAACTGCCTAGCCTGATGTCAGATAAATAAGTACTCAATAAACCTCAGTCTTTGTCCTCTTGCATTTTTCTGCCTTGTACTATATCAGGGGATGGCATCCACCCGCTTTAAAAATGATGGTTATGTGATTGCGCGGGGTTTGCTGAGGTCTCCCAAACCCTCAGGTCAGACAGAACCAGTACGTTTTTCACTTTCCCCCAAATATGATGCAGGCACCTAGCAGTTTTTCTCACATTTCTCCACTATTTGGAAAAAGTTAGCTTTTCATATTATTTTGGGGATAAAAATGACCATTTCAGTTCCTGTATCAGCTTCCTAACTGAGTTTTACCTTGAAAATCCCCAGAAAAAGCATGAGATGTCTGAGTTGGGAGATGTGCCTTCAAGACCTGACTCTGTCGCTTGCAAACTCTGTGCCTTCTGGAAAGCGTACCCGAGCGCAGTGAGCCGTGGGTTCCTCACCTACAAACTGAGGATGAGAACTCCACCTCAGAGCCCACGGTGAGGCTCCGCTGTGATGGCGTAGCTATGTGTGTGCCTGGTAAACCAGAGCACTTCAGGAACTTGGTTGTAGTTTTATTTATCCTCCTGACCGCAGCCTGAGTGCCGGTTTCAGACGATTCGGATTCAGCCCCTGCCTCAAATGCAGCTGCATTCCCTGCACCTGCGAGGCGTCAGGCATCGTACCAGGCACCGCGGCATGTCTGACCCTCGGGAATGCCTAGAATATCTTGTAAAGTGACATTCCCCTTCTGAGAGCCAGCCAGGCTCCCTTTTCCTCTTTTTTGTTCTTCTCTCCCAGTCTGCTGTCACCAAGGTTAGGGAAGCCCACCACATCCCATTCACCCGCCTCCCTCCTTACTGAAGCTGTTTACAACTTAATTCCATCATAGGGAAGCTACTGAGCCACAGCAGGTGTGGGTGACCAGGCAAATCCCAGCACAAATCTCTTGCCCATCACTGTTCAGGTGGAATTAAGGACATCTCCCACATCCTGGCGCAGAGATGCGTTAATTCTGATCACTCTGTCCATTCATCATCTGCTTGGGTGCAGAAAGCTGTCATTCACCGAGTATCCAGCTGTCTGCAGGATGTGGGGGGGGGGGGGAAATAACCGTAAGATTTTGACAGCCTCATTAAGATTCAACTCACTTCAGTTCCTAAGCTGATGGGTGAATGTGTTAAAAACAAACACCAGCAAAGAAGAGAGGAGAAGGAGGGCTAAACAAGGAGGGGATCAGAGAAAGAGGTGAGGGAAGGCAGGCAGTGGAGTGAAGATGACAAGTTTGTAGATAGGTCTGTTTGTGTAGGAGCCTAAAGGTTACTCGAGGACAGGGTGCGTCCTCCCCAAGATGAAAGGCACGCCACTAGCCAGAGGATGTGCTTTTAAAAACGATTTAAAAATAAGATGCATTGTGTTCCATTCAATCCCCAAATTAGTCCAGAGAAAGGCAGATGGAGACCTGGCTCTCTAGGGAGGGGGGAAGAATGTCTCTAGGAATCCTTCTCTGCAGAACAGCAAAATTGGAGCACTCAAGGACTGGCTCACCTCTGAGGCTGGGGCAAACTCCAGGAGGTGATGGGCGGTGGGAAAAAAAGTGAGAGGTG